ATTATAGACAGTTATTACCTACCTATGTATGTATGTATGTATATATGTATGCATGTAGGCAGGTATGCGTATGGTAAAGCAGTAATCAGCAATTATTTACGAAATGCCTGCCATAATGGACAGTACATTCGATGTTATTTTAAGTAGGAGCATTAAACCAGATCACAATAAAATATGCAAGGGAAAGGTCGCTTTTTTAGTTTTTCGATTTCACATAATAAGGTTTAATCCACTCTCTCACTCACTCACTCTGTTCAATAAGCGCTGAGTAAAACATTTTATGCTAAATAAGGAGGGTACTTTGTGCTTTGATTTCAACTAAAGTATCGATTTATGTGTGAGATTCCTGTTCGATTTCTTGTACCACCACTGAATGACACATAGTTTAATACCTTAAACCGTACTAACTTTAGATGACGTCAACTGGACTCCATGAGTATGATATGTATGTAAGGGAAGAAGGGAAAATAAAATTTTAGGTCCGTGAATAAAATATACCCCGATGGATGGTGTTTATTCCTGAGACGTGCCAGCTATTTCATTCCATTCAATAATGCTTCTAACTATCAATAAAGAAAGTGGTGCTCTAGATCCATTTTAGCTGGTCGGCACCACTGTCTATACAATTTGGTGATCGATTGAAACCAATGCCCCTCTGGTTCATTCCCTAATGTATGCTGCATGGCTGTAAACGGGCACATCCAAGTAAGAATATCCTTTAGCTCTATTTTATGAAGATATCAGATTGACCAAATAAGTAGTTACCGCTTCAGCCTAATGTAGAAAAAAAAACATGCATTTACCTTCCTATTAACTCATACAGTTTGACCTACAATACAAGTGTCGTTGATTAACAGAATTGCTCAAATGAGTGACGGTTTGATTGCCTCACTGACCGGATGAGTTAATGCTTATTCATTCAGTACATACTTTTACATACAAGCATAGGTATGAACATGCAGACGATATATATTATACATACATATGTTAATATGTATATGTAAATTCATTTCATTTTCACGCGTACTTGACATTTTACAGGTGTTGCAAGGACATTTTTGCAACTATCCGGTTGTTCTGTTTCTGTCGCTGTTGTTGTCTTTATAATNCTTTTGCACTTGGTTTTGGTCTGCCGTGCTTTCGTTGTCCATTAGTGAGTGCCAACTCACAGGAGCTTTTCATTAGAACGTCATTATCTTGACGCCCACCATGTCCAAATATCGTTAAAAAGCTTACATAGTTCGTTATTTCAAGTATATGTACTACTCTGATTGGCAGTAGGCATTGCGCTTTCCACAATATGATTAAAAAAGTCCCGTAAAAGTAACTCGCTTTGTCTGAAAGCTCTTTTAGTCTTGAACGACGCGAAGAGGTCGTTCCCAGTTTGAACTGAATCAAAATTGTGTTCAACATTCCTTTACATATGTATTCGTATTGGTTTTACGGGGATCCTAAATTTAGTCCTGGATCAATCAGTCAAGACTTGTTCCTCAGTAACTGGCACACACAGCAAGATTTTCTCTCGCATATTGTGGATTGTGTAAAATACACTGAGGTTCTAACCTTGCTAATGTTATCATCACTCTAAATGATGCTCAACCGATATTATATGAAACCTTTCAGCATTTCGACAGTTTAGCCAGTATACCGTCAGCGTTTCGGTCTAGTGGAGGGACGTAAGCAGTCGTCTGGGTTCTTCTTCATTAAACGGTTCACCTGGGGCATTCGAAACATTGCACAGTGGTTCCACTTGTATGGAGTATCGGTAAAAAATAGTTTTATCTGAAACTAAATGAGATTTTGCAATAAAGTTTCGTACACTTGTTACCCTCCCACCAGGTTAGGACGGGAATGAAAATGGATGGAAAGTGAAAAATGTGCCTTTGACGTAACTACTGGAGCCAATTTGCCTAAAATTTAAATATATGTAGCTACAACACAGTAAGTGCAAGACCTCCAGCGGCATCATTGTTTCTTTCCTTCTTCTTTGGTAGTTTTCGTTAGCCAGTAATGAATGGATCGGAACTCAAAAGTAACCGATTGGTTCTTCTCTATGTGAGCTCCCATTGAAACATGCACGTTTGTAATCAATGCTTCGGTCGATGGTTTACTCGTCGCTCGAGTATGTTTTTAACCTTAAAGTTTCTATTTCGACCGGACTAAATTTTGGTGTTTTTAGATAACTTATGCGCTTTGGCAAGGGAGTAATATTGGATGGCAGGTAAGTAATGAAGCAGAGTTGGGGTCCGTGTGGCCTTTTGGCAATTTATTTGAGTTCATTATTACAACACTCGTTTTTCAAATAATAATAGAATAATACGTTAGTGTTTGGCTGAGCTTCTCCTCCGATTTGTGGCGTGCGCCTTGGATGTTGTCACACAAAGCGGAGGGACCTACAGTTTTACGCCGACTCCGAACGGCGATTGTATTTTTATGAGAAGCTGATTTTCATGGCAGTAATATACTCGGAGGTTTGCCATTGCCTGCCGAGGGACGACCGCTGTTAAGAAAAAACCTTTTTTCTATATTTTTGCGATGTTGCTTTCACCTGGGTTTGAACCCAGGTGCTGCGGAGTGGAAACCTAGTTTTTCAAAACTCAACGCTAAAAGGCGTGTACTTGACAACCTGCCTGGCTATCTACCCTGCAGTGAAAAGCCAAACCAGTTAGAAAAAATACTAGTTCATTAACTAGTATGTGCCTACCAGTTCGACAATTTCGAAGAACTTAGGCGATCAGCGACATCTGCCTTTGAATTGCCAAAGCCAAAAATAAAACGCAATTAATTGCTTTTCTTACAAATGTCGGCTGTGGCGTCACGTGAAGACTACTGGTTGTGGTTCTGAAATCGCAGCTTCGAGGCCGCTTGGAGGTGGTTAAGATTTTTAAAGTTTAATAAATGTAAGTAAAAGTAATTTATTCAATTTATAAATAAATAACAAATTTGAAAATCTAGTTGCATTGCAAAAAAAACATTTAGGAAGAAATGCTTGTGCTATAAAAACCAAGAAATTAAACAAAAATATGTTTTTTATTAAATTTAAAAATTACAATAAACAGCCTAAACAAAAAAATAAATTTATAAAAAATAAAAATTAAATAAAAAATAGAAAATAAAAAAATTTTCCCTGCGCCAGGATTTGAACCTGGGACCTCAGGCTTACCACGCGAATGCTTTGCTCTGTCGGCCATTGTAACTGCTGGAGCGTCGCGAGCAAAAAGGCACACTTATGCTTTTCACGGGGCATAAATTGGCAGACTATCTCATCAACTGGTATGATGCTACTATTATTTATACTAGTAGATGCTGATGCATAGCCTGACAATTGACATCTCGTAGGACATCTCCGTGTTAAAAATACCAGTCGCTAACATTGAAAAAGGATAGAACGTGAACTAGTTCGGCTGAAACGCAAACCGGTAGAATTCTAGTTCACAACGAGTAGCTTTCCCTGCAGGGTAACTACTCGCTAGCCACGGCGTATGAGTTATCTATCAACATCGGAATTTAGTGCGGTCGAAAAATAAACTTCAATTCTCTGTACCTTTTCTGCTTATTAAGTTGTTGGTAAACTACAAAGCAAAGCAAATCGTCGTTTACTAAAATTTTTAATTTTAAGAAGGATGAATTTCGGTTAAGAGTGCAGAAATTGAGTTTTTAGTATTTAGTAGGCTAAGGACCTAGTCTAGGTCGACGGGATCTTAAAAATATGTACATATGTATAGTACTCAAAAATATCTTTTAAAAGAAATAAATAAAAAAAAGTTAGGAAGAAATTTCTATTATACCTATTTTTAGAAGCCGCGTATGACGAAAATTTTTGACCGAAAACTCATTTCAAACTACGCGGGAGAAGAGAGGTTTGTAGTTGAAATATTTTTTTAGCGACCTAGTCTAATGTATGCACATTGGCTACGCTGTACTTTCCGCCCTTAGTCAGCATTTGTCGACATAAAACTTGAAAAAAAAAAACTCAAAAGTTAAATATCTTCAAAATAATGATATTGTAGTTCCTAGTAGAAAAAATGGTAGTTTAAGTTTAGCAGCAAAGTATGTGGGTTATAGTAGGACAGAGATTTAGGTAATAACAAATGTGTAAACATAGCTTTTTCCTCGAAATCCATTATAACCACCACCTTTCACTTAGACAGTTCTAAGAATGCACTCACAGGACACACAGAACTATAGGATTGCAGTAAAATTTCGAGTACAGTGGACGTGTTCACTTGGGGGGTTCAACGGATAAGGAAATTGAATGCTTAGGTGGTTCTATTTACATATATTTTTGGTTACCTCACTGGTAACTGTCTATGAACATTTAAACATATATTTGGGAAAATTGAAATTTTTTTATTTTTGATAGGTTGACAACCTCTTTCGTCTTATTTCAAGTGCATTCTGGATGTCTCTCACCAGATGCTCATTCAACATTCTTAAACCAGCTCCGATCTTTGACGCTATTTAATTGTAATCTTCCGGTCCATGTTCTGCCTACCAGCATCGTAAGTTCCTTGTATTTACGGCTTTCTGCCTCGTAATGCTTTCTATTGAAAATACGTCTCTTCTTCTTAGTTTACACAGACATCGATCAAGTGACATTCGAAATTGGCTGCATTTCTTTCTCGTATTCCTCTGAAGCAGCGACACGATGCACTTGGTCATATCCATTATATACTTACTGCTTAATTGAGGTCTGGCAATATGGATTTAAAAATATGCACTGCAGCCTTTTCTAAAATGAAATTACTTCTCATTTTAGAGATTAAGGCATCGATAACGAAAAAACTTTCCTAATCAATACCACCGGTTATTTGACAGCCGAGTGAACTTTGACCCAGTGGCAGTATTAGCTCGTCCAACCTATCTGAACTAAACTCACCTTTTATTACGAATAAATATTTCCGTGGCCTAGTTTTCTTGCCAACTTATGTCTACAATATTTTAAATAATAGGTAGTGACACACATAAATACATACATATATGTTTTTTCCCGTAATTTATTTAAATGCCTTTTCGTATTTTTTAGTGATTCAATGTGCTTACTAACTATAAAATTTTTTTTTTAAATTGTTTTAATAATTATTTTAGTTTATCAGCATCAGTAGTATTTTTCACTCAGCAAACTCGTAATTGTAGTTCCGGATTACATTCGGTTTAGCTAATAACTAGCTTGTGGAATAATTTTTTCGTTTCTTTTTAGATAGCAAACTGAGCGCCCTTCTTTACAGTGTTTAATTAATTAAGCTCCGCTTCATTAATGTCCATTTAATTTATAAATGGTTTCATGTCAAATATGATTTTCTTTTAACTTAAGATTTCTTTTCGGTTAAGTTGTAAATTTGCTTGGCAATAACCGATAGTTCCACATCGATCGGTTTTGTGTCGTCATAAAGTGAGGGCGCCTCGCACAGAATCATGAATGTACCCACTAGAGATGCAATCATGAAGAGCCAGAGAAAGAGACGATCCAACACCATGGCAACAAAACCCCAGTCTTGATCTTCCTGCAAATTAAAGAAAGAGAAATATTACGTTTAAAGAAATATGTTGATAGCTTTGTAGCACAATGAAGTTGTATCAAGCTATTAAAAATAATATATATATAAACATGCATATGTATGCATTCCGATATTTTCTTCATGATTCTTTATGTTATAAACCATGTACCAGACGTTTTCGAGATATCGATTTTTTAAAAAACTTTCCCTTTTTAATGCGAACAATTTTGCGAAGAATGGTCCGGTTGGGAGCACCATGATGCAAAAAAGAAGGTAGTTTCAATAAACAACTTTTTGATTAAAAAGGAGATTTTTGACGATTGCTCAATTGCAAAAAAATTCGAAGCGGCGTTACCCAATGTAAGTTTTTGGTGGGGCGATTTATATCCTAAATTTGATAGTATAAATAAAATAGTTGTATTAACATTTACCTTCTAAAAATAATAAATATCTTATCTTAAAAACGTTCAAATTTTACATTAAATGCGATAACTACTTGCCGAAATCTTTACTTTTACATTAATAAAATTCTAGTGAACATATTTTAACATTTTTTTAGTGCCATTATGTCATCTGATTATTACACAATATAGCTAGCCAGGACTATTAGAATTTTCTATATTGGATACGATTGTTTCTGATATAATTGAGACACTGAAATTACACATTTCGATATTGTCTTTGTCTATATCTTTCAAGTAACTTGAAAACGGAATTTATCGTTGTTTCTTTGCGTAAAAATAAATATATTTTACTGTTCAATACTGGAGGAGGTGTGAAATAAAATTGATGATTTATTGTTAGTATAAAAGCTAGAAACACAATTATCAACTTATTGAGCATTAGACCTCTTCCCTTTCAAAAACAAAAGGGAAAATGTTCGGTTATTT